GGGAAGAGATTAACCAAAGAAGTTATATGCATATATGCATAACCTATGGACACAGTCAATAACAGGGTGAAGGCCTGGGGAGGGGGTGGGAGCGAAGTGGAGGGGGTCATTTGCGGGGGAAAATGGTATACCTGTAATACTCTCAACAATAAAGATAAATTTAAAAAGTAAAAAAAAAAAATACACAAAGGAACATCTAAAGTAATCAAAATAATTCTTACAACTTAATAACAAGAACCGTAATAAAAATATGGGCAATAGATTTGGGTACTTCACAAAAGATGTACCAGTGATTATATATACAATCACAGAATGTGGAAGGCTGCTCAACCTCATCAGTCATGAAGGAAATTTGAACTAAACATACATGTGATAATTGTACACATCTATTAACAATACCATGTGCTGGGAAAGACGCAGAGCAGCTGGAATTCTCATACAATGCAAAAGTGGTACGGCCAGTGTGGAAAACAGTTTGTGCGTTTCTTACAAAGCTGAGAACAATTGCCATATGATCCAGCAATTCCACTATTAGTTATTTATTCAAGAAAAATAAAAACTTTTGTGCACACAAAGACTTACATGCAATGTTCACAGCAATTTTATTCATAATCACCCAAAATAGAAAGAACCTGTTATATACTGAATTGTGTCCCCTCAAAATTCATATGTTGAAGGCTAACCCCAAATGCGACTGCATTGAGAGATAGGACCTGTAAGTAGGTAATCGGAGTTAAGTGAGGTCATAAGGAGGGGGTCCTAATCCAATATAACTGTGTCCTTGTAAGAGGGAGAGAGACAGCGGGGATGCACACACACAGGAATGTGTGAGGACACAGAAGTAAGGCATCCAGCTGCGGACCAAGTTGCAAGGCCTCGGAAGAAACCAAACCTGCGGCACCTTGAATCTTGGACTTCCAGCCTCTAGAACTGTGAGAAAGTAAATCTCTGTTGCTTATGTCCCTCAATCTGTGGTATTTTGTTACGGCTGCTCTACACAAACTAACCATCTGTCAACAGGCGAATAAACAAACTGTGATACAGCTAAACTCGGAATATTGTGACAGTACGGACCAATGCATGCACTTCACAGTCATTCTGCTGAGCCAAAGAAGCCAAGTACAGTGAGTGCCGACTGTGTGATTCCATTTATATAAAATTCTGGAAAGGCAGATCTAATCCAGAGGGATGGAAAAGCAAATCCACACTTGCCTAGGGGTGGGCATGGACTGATTGCAAAAGGGCTTGAGGGAATTAGGGAGGAGAGAGAATATCCTATAACTTGACTGTAGTGACGACTGTGCAAGTGTGTTCATTTGTCAAAACTCATCAAATCACTTAGAATGAGTGCTTTTTATTTCATGTAAATTATACTTCAATACAATTGATTAAAAATTCAATATACTAGTACTTCATAAACAATAAACAAACTAGATAGCTATATTAATATATAAAACACATTACTAAGTAAAAGTGTTATTCAAGTGAGTCCTTACACAGAGAACATTTTTATTAGAGATATATAAAGTATTAGACTGTTATGACACTAATGATAAGTCTCAAAAAAAGGGCAAAAACTGAGAAAATCATTCAGAGAAAAACAGACAAACCCACAATTATAAAGGAGGATCTTAACACATTACTTCCAATAAAACTTAAAGCACACAAAACAGCTTTATGCATCATCTGAGGGTGATATACAGAAAAGTCTAAATATATGAAAAATAGTTAAACAACCAGGAACCTTACACACACCAGCCACTTGGGAGGGAGAAGGGAAAAGGCCGAGGAGCCGGATATTGTAATGTTTGCTTCTTCAAACAGAGACGAAGCAGATATGGCAAAATGTTAGCATCCTTAAATCTGGGAGGGAGGGTATAAGCATGTCTTTTATATTAGTTTTTTACACTTTTCTTTGGTATGTTTGAAATAGTTCCTAATTTTTTAAAATGCTAAAGATTGTTCTAGCTGTAGGGCAGGTAATAGATTAGAGAAGAACCAGAGTGGGTATAAGAACAGTTATCAGGCTGCAATTCACAGTATATTTAAATAATTTAAGTCTTTGCTTATATATTTAATTTATGGAAAGCCAAACAAAACTCTGAAACCTGATGCAGGACTTATTACAAGCACATTTTCCCAAACTCACCTGCTCTACCTCTCTGCTGAGGGCATCTACCTTTTCTTTCAGTCTGTTACCCTCTGCCTCAGCGGTGATAAGTTCCAGTTTGAGGGTATTGTTGTCCGCCTCAGCTTGCCGGGCCTTATTTTCCCAGTTCTCAGCATCCTCATTGGCTTTTTGGAGTTGGTCCATCATTTGCTGGTTCTCAGATTCCTGAAAAGCAAATCTTAGGTAGTAGTTGAAAAGATGTAAAATGTTCAGCATATAATTAAACATTTGTCAGATCACTGGGAATTGACTTGCTATGAGGATCTTTTTTTTTGGTAAGCGAAGGGTTTTTTTATTTCATTAACAATTAAGGTTATGCTAATATGTATATTTCAAAATAGTCCTGAATATTTAAGATATGGTGTTAAAATAGTCATACAAGGATCATTAGTAACATAACCTTGAGGAATTGCTTGTCCTGGAAAATTGCTTGTCCTGGAACTAACAAAAGGAGGTGGGACCAGGATCTGCCCTGGCTCCTGAGTCACACTCACCCATCTAGTCAAGTGAAGTAGCTTACTCTTATCTTCAGGACCCAGATGAGTATGTTTTTATATTTACTTTTGTTCATACAAAATCCTTCATTGCTTCAGTTTCCCATGTATCTGCTTCCTGACTAGTTGCTGGCCTGTTTTCGGACCTCCTGCCTTGGCCTGACCCTGTGTGTCTGCCTATTGCCTTCTCCCTGACCTCTTTTCTGAGCTGTACTGGCTACAGAGCTTCTCAGTGCTGGCCTGTCTTAAGCATCAACTTCTGATACTTCTCTTGTCTTGGCACATTTCCTGTGTGATTCCTGCTTTTCATTCAGAAGCCCAGCCTTAGTTTTCTCCATCATGGACTGTGCTATGATCCACGTTTGCTCACTGTTCTAATAAATTGCCTGAAATGGCTCAGAAGCAACATATTAAACCTATGTCGATAAACACTATTCATAAATATACATCCAGGTATATATTGGGCATATAATATAGAACCACATGTTTAAACCCTTAAAAGGTCCATCATGACAGATTGACTAAAGTGGGGTCTTATTTAGATTGACTAAAGTAGGGTCTTATTTGTAGAGGAAAACAGTCAGCTCTATAAGTAATATACTATACTTAGCAATCATTTCTAAACTATATTTAAAAACATATTTTAGTAGTATGGTTTGGCTAACTCATTCTGAAACATAATTTATAATTTTCTTAATTAATTAAAAAGGCACTGCTTCTCTTTCTCTGCTACCTGTGAATAAACAATGCTTTTCCCTATCAGAAACATTGGACTAAACAAAATGACCAAAAGGCAATAAACAATATCTTACCCTGTAAGGCTTTCAAATCAGATATAAATTCTCACAAGTATATTAAGCATAAGTCTGGTTGAAATTAGATTAATATCGCCACCTTGTGGCCTGATGGTATTTCTTAAAAAATTTTTTTAATCCTCACCTGAGGATATTGTTCCATTGATTTTCAGAAAGTGGAAGGGAGGGGTGAGGGGAAAGAGGGAGAGGAGAGAGAGAGAGAGAGAGAAGAACATTGATATAAAAGAGACACATCGATTGGTTGCCTCCCACACTCACAACAACCTGGGCTGGGGAACGAACCTGCAACCCAGAAACATGCCCTTGACCTGGAATCAAATCCTGGACCCTTCTTCTGTGCATGGGCCACCACTATAACCACTGAGCAACACCGCCAGGGCTTCATGGTACTTTGACTAATGTGAAAGATCTTTGCAGAGTGTTAGTTAACAAGTTCACAAACCAAAACTACAGTTTTGGCTTTCAAGAGTCATNTTGCTGAGTGTTAGTTAACAAGTTCACAAACCAAAACTACAGTTTTGGCTTTCAAGATTCATATATTCTACATGTGCCAGGAGGGATGATGTGTGTTTTCCATTATTGTACTAAAAGTAACAGTATGTACAGAGTATGTACTTGGGAGGTACATGGTACAATACACATGAACTAAATTTTACCTACATCAGTCTTTCCCCTTTAACTTTCTGTAGCACTCACTGTCTGTCATTCTCAGCTTTATGTAACCAGGTGTGGGGTACAGTCTCCCCCGTAACACCTTGGATTCCTCAAAGACAGGAACCATTTCTATATTAAATTTAGTTTTGTGATTGGTAATACAGGTTCAAAGTTCAAGTGGTAAAAAAGAATTGCCATAAAACGTCTCTCCTGCCCGCCAACCATCTAGGGACCCTTCCTTGTGGCAACCAAGAGGCCATATTTTACCCTTTTTTGTATCTGTCCAAAGGAGCCAGAGCAGTGTGGGGCCCAAGATAGGCAACAACTTAAAGAAAGAGAAACTGCTTCTTGGTTTTCTCCAATGCTCTCTTTCAAGATGTCTTTAGCCCTTTCTGGCGCTACCTCCACCCCTGGACCCCCCTCCCTCTGGTGGTCCCCTGGGCTCATTACAACACTCCACCACCACAAAGCTCACCGCCTCAGCTGGAATCCTTTGCCCTTCCTGACTGAATTTTGGGTACAGCTTCCTATTGCTCTCTTTCCTTTTGATTTTCTCACCCTTCTGATTTATTGTTCCCAAATCTCCAGAATAATCTTTCTAAAAGGCAATTCTTCAAATAACTGCTGTGCTTATTTTGCAACAAAAACTTCCTGAAAATGGGGTTCAAACAAGTCCTTCTTACCTCTCCAGCTACGTGACCTACTGTTTCCCCTGAACACCTTTGCCTGTGTTGTCCCCACTGTCTCGACTGCCATTCTGTTTCCTCTCAGTTTTTCATGTCTGGCACCGCTGCACCTAGCATACTGCCTGCTGAATGAATGAGTGACTGGAGAACGCACCCGACAGTTCTTACTGGACTACCTGTGGTTTGTTCTCTCTGGGGGAAGGGGAGCCTGGATCCATCCAGCTATGCTGTGAAATGAAATCTCATGAAAGAACTCATGCTAGGATGCTAAAAGCTAAGAGAAGCTTGATGTGTGATGTCTGAAAACACAACTCCAGAATCTAAAAGCCCCAATCCTCAATGGTGACATTTCAGGTAACGTGACAGACTAGGGAGAAAAGGG